GTACAAAATCTGGGACATGAGATGTTGAGCAAGTCAAGACCTAATGATGTTTGGACACATGCCCTACATGATGGCATTGCAATTCCTTAAGCCTTGGGGTTCATATTCTATTCACAGCATGAAGTTGTATCCTGCCTGCTGCAAACTCTGAAACCTCAGTACATCACTGTTCAATGTGCACCCTAGTGAAGAACTCCTGTCTATATGGTATACTTATTGAAACCTCTGGCTTTATTTTTCTGTCAGAATTCTACATGCATCCTGATTTTCCTTAGGACTGATGTAAGACAATCTGGTCTTCATGAAACCCTCACAGGTAGCTGCAAGCAGCCCAGAACAGACAACCGTTTAATGAGCTATTACTATGTACCAGTTTGATTTGAGATCTTTTACTTGAAATCTCTAACTTAATCCCCACAACAACTCTGGGTGTAAAGTCTTACCACCCCCACTGCAAAGCTGAGGAGAGGGTTTCCTGGGTTCATGAATGCCTGAGCTCTCCCAGGCTTCTCAGGAAAAGCCTTAGAACACAAACCCAGGGCGCTTTCTGGCCCACACCCATGGTTCTTAAATACTCTTTATCCTCAATCTCTTTTTCAGAGACCACTTCATCTCTAACTTTCCTTCTGCTCTTGACCTTGGTATCTTCACAAAAATAGAATGTTCCTTCCAAAGAGGTCATACTCGAAACGGGTCTTTGTGTCGGGGATACACTTGCAAGTCTTGAGGTGGAACACGCACAACAAGTGATGTGGAGGCGGCAGAACATAAACCCACTTGACAAACAATCACATCTGACACTTCTGCCCACAGATGACAAGGGCTCTGTGCTGAGCTGCCTGGCAGAGCTTCCCTCATTGTGTGTGTAGCCTGCACCGTCTCCACGCGAAAATGTAGCTCTTCCATAGGGCAGCGTGCACGGCATTAGTACCTGTCAAATGCAGTTTATGTTTCCTGTGAATGTGATTACACCGTCAATAAACTTGCACAACAGCATGATCCCTTGGGGGATGGCCGCCAGGATAACCCAAGAGCAGGATGGGTCACTGCCAAGGTTAAATCTGTTATCAGTGGAAAGTAGGCCGCCACCAGGAGGAAGAATGTCTAGCTCTCAGGGTTGGGGATCTTGGGACTGGGTCTCAAGAAAAGTTGTGATTGTCTTAAAATACTGAAGAATGGGGTAGCTTTCTTGGTTGAAGGAAACTGTAAATGCATGTGGATAATTTATAGGAATAAAGATCACATGGCTATTTAGGTCATTTTTTCGTAAGAATCCATGTACATCTAGCCCCAAGTTAAATTATGAAGTACACAGTTGATTTTTAATAAAATTTTCAATAATTATTCTTTCTTCCATGACTTTATAACCTCTTGGGTTTTTAGAGCTCATTGTTTTTATTTTATTGTTTAAAGAATAGAGCTCATTGTTATTCTGACCCCAGAAGTTTGCTCTCTCCAAGCAGTGTGGGTCCCCTAACTCAGCTTCAAAACTTGTCTCGCCAGATGACTGATTTGATGACAGTCTACTTAGAGCTAATACACAATCGCTCATTTTGGCTAAAAAGGCTGTACAGCCCAGAAAAAAAAAGTTTACTATTTAATTTGTGTCTGAATCTGAAATAAATATTTGAAGACTTTCTCACTCATTAGTAGAGCCAGGCACAGAAAGATCTGTGAAGGGGACTGCTTTCCTCAGCCCTCAGAGCAGAGCATGCCCGGTCTCCATGCCAGATCCTCAGCTAACCCCCGTGTCCTGCAGCTTCTTCCCAAGGTGCTCATTCTTTTAATGTTTCAAAATCTGGTTGCCAAAGCAGCTTTCCCTTATACCACCAGGCTCCCTCTCCCCTCCGCTCTTTTCCTCATTAAAACTTAGTTTCTTGCCGCAGTTTCAAAAAACTCTCATTAATACAATGCAACCTGTCACTTCTCCCCGTCACTTCTTTTCCTGTAGTCTAGCACATTTCAGCATGCCTTTCCCACCATTTCTCCTCTTCTAAGTTGAGGTTTACTTACTATTTAAAAATCTTAATATGTATTTTGGTAACATCTCCAATGCAACATACAAGTTTAATTGGCTTTGAAAAAAGGAAGTACAAGAAAGAAAAATACACAACCACGCATGTGTTCATATCCAGTGACAGTAAGAGCAAGAGACACAAGGGAAGGAATACCTCCACTCAAGATGGCGCACCTTCTCACAATGGAAAGGGCAAGGAAGGAGCGGAGGTAAAGGAGGGCATCAGGAGGGTATGACTGCCAGTGGACCCACAAGCTGGACCCAGGCCATCAGAAGTTCCTTATACCCTCCCCTGTCTCAGAACATACACCCTGCCTCCTGTTCCCAGAGGGGGAGCTGTTCCAAGGGCGTAGCCATGAGAGAATAAGTTGTGGAGACCATCCGAGTCTGTATATAGGACTGAACCCCATTAAGGCCTCCATATAAACATTTAAGATCCTGATGGGCATGTGCAGAGATCTACTTGTCTTGCAGCATCTAAGACAAGCCCCCTTGCTTATTAATCCTGCCAGATACCAATCTGGAGTGGCCTGCTTCTTTCTTTGGTCTCCCCTTCCCCTCTGTGAGTACAAGAGCCAGTTCAAGAACAAACAAAAGAGAAAGGAGAGAATATTCAAATAATTTGGGACCACAGGTAATTTAGTAAATGTGATCATCAATTTTTTACATGGATGGAGCATGATATGAAAATGCAACTACTTGTATTTCCTTTTTTTAAAAGTTGGTGGTTTGGCTAATGAGCTTATTTGTTTTTATAAACCCAGATTCTCGATGATCAGCACTAAAATGTGACTACAGATAAAACAGCTTATGTTAAAGCATATAAAAGGACCAGGGGTTGATCTCAGGTGGAACATTCCTGATGGCCATGAGACACTCTACAGAATATTCCATGTCAGAAAGAACCAAAACCTGTCATCGACCATGTGGCTATTTCTAGTATACGTGGATGTTCCTTGTCATACAGACAAATTATCCAGATATCAAACTCTCTTTTTCAATTTCCACTTGAAAGCTTTGTGTCACTTAAATCAAGTCAACATCAAATTGATTTTTTTCTTTTTCCCCCCAACAGGATAAGGAAATTTCTGAAAATACTGATGCTATAATACCATGGCACAGAGAATACTGTTAGTAGGATATTCTAATTAACTGAGTTATACATCCAATTATGCCTATTTATTATGTATCATTGCTCTACTCTGTTCATATCTTATTTCTGCTTTTTACAGAAAGCTTCTTGAGGAAAAGGCCTAAACTTCATACTATTGACGGTGTGTTTCGTATCATGATTCACATATATTATTCCTGATTAATAGATGTTTTGGAATGGGTGTTCAAAGAGCTATATCACAAAATAAACTAAGCACAGGATGTGTTTCCAACATGAGTG